TCTGTCTCTCTGTCTGTCCTTCCTTCCTTCCTTCTTTCCTTCCTTCCTTCCTTGTTCTATTACTGTATCACCCTTACACTATGCATAGAGGTGCTTCTTGAGACTTACTGGGCAAGGGTTGAATTATATTGCTGTAGTACAAAGAATTAAATTTACAAGCTGTTTTTTATTCTTATATATCTTTTAATGATTTATTGATTTATTTATAATTTCTCAGATTTGTTCCTTAACTCGTCATTTCACATTATTCAGTATGTTTATTATGTGCACTATTTTAACCAATTGTGTGTTCATGGCATGGTCAGAACTTCCTCCTTGGAATAAATATGTCGAGTAAGTATCTCTTCACTCATCAGTTCCTCCTCGCCCCCCCCCTTCTCTCCTCTTTTCCCTTTTGCCTGTGTGTGAGACAGAGTCTGTGTTGCCTTCCTGGGAATGGAGGGGAATTCGATTCATTCACATGCGTGCTGTTCTTTTGATATATATAGTCACTAAAGCCATGTTATGTATGTGTGTTCTGAATAATAAATGCAATGTTAAGCGGAAGACCGGAACGTTAAAAAGTATGGCATAAATTGGGCACGAAGTAAAACGTATACAAAACAAATACCTCCCCTGCTCCTAACATCACCGTATTTCCACTTGGGTTCTGTTTAATTTCATGCCTTAAAATGTAAGAGGAGCCATTAGGAATTGGCCCGGATCCTGTATGCCTGGTCCATGCCATGGCAGGGGCGATGCTCCTTGGCTGTATTCGATTTCCAAGGTCGAGAATGTACAGCCTGTGGCCAGCCAGTGTGACCTGCTAGTTCTTCAGTGCGGTTCCCCATGTGTGCAATACGCCTCTCCCTTCTGTCCTGCTGATATTGTCTCCGGCTGATTTCATACAGATTGTTCTTTCCGTGCTGTTGCTGCTGCCACCGCTGCTGCTAGGAAGCAAGGAAAGGACAATCTGTAGAAAGATCCTTGTGGGGGACTTTCCTCCCTTCCCCTGCATTCCTCATATAGATGGCTCTCTCAGTACTGTAGGCAAGGTAGAGAGATGGCTGCCCACATTTTAACCAGTCAGCGAAATGGTGATTGCTCTGTGTGCATGTGTGTGTGTGTGTGTGTGTGTGTGTGTGTGTGTGTGCACATGCATGCCCATGATCGACAATTAGAGATAGGTGCAAAGTTAATAACGAACCAGGAAATTTGTTGTTAATTTGTCAATTTGAATTGGTTCGGGTTCGTCCAAATGGAGAACTGGACTACCCTGAACCAACAAATTCTTGGTGATTTCTGAACCTCCTGGTTTGTTCCCCCCTCCCCAGACTGCCCCCTGCCCCGTTTCCACTGCCTCACCACCTTTTCCTGCTGCCGCCGCCTGGGGGCATGCACACAGGCCACCGGGCTGATTTTTTTAAAAAATTTTTTTAAAGTTAGCCAGCTTGTCAGCCTGCTTTGGGTGGGGGGCTCTGCAGGAACCAGCGGCTTCTCAATAGAACAGTGGCTGCTGTGGAGGAGGAAGCAGCAGCAGGAAAAGGTAGGGAAGCCGTGGGGGCAGTGGTTGTATGTGTGGATGGGGAGACCGCTGGGTTTCTTTCAGTTTTTTTGACAGTCACCGGACAGTCTAAAAAATATATATTCCCGAACAAACGGATGACTCGATTCGTGATTCATTCAGAAAAATTCATAAATTTGTGGTTCGTGGACTTCCATGAGCCACATACTGCTATTTTGACAATTCATGCCGATCTCTATTCCCCACCATTTGTGCCCATTCGGGGAGAAAAGGAATTCATAAATTTGTGGTTCGTGGACTTCCGTGAGCCACAAACCAAGACATACTGCTGTTTTGACGATTCATGCCGATCTCTATCCCCCACCAATTGTGCCCATTCGGGGAGAATGGTGCCAGCGTTTGAGAATATTTGACCACTGAGCTGTTTTGGATGGACAATGTAAGCCAAAACCACTCTGGATGCCGAGGAATTCCCCGTGGGCCTGTTCTAGATGTGGGCGGAGCCAAAGCTGGGGCGAAGTAGGTGTGGCTATTCCTTCTTTTTTTCTGCCTGGTGGGCTACCAGGGGATGAAAATATGGCTTTCTGAATGTGTTACCTGCAGAAAAATCTTGAAATTTAGTAAAGGCCTGCTGATTGCCCACTCTGTTCTAGAGGCAGTGTTTAAATGAGAGAAATCAGAGCACTGACTTTTATACCTGTACGTTTCTAAAATTCTGCTGAATTACTAGCAGAATGTTCCTTGACCGTTTCCTTTTTTTAAAGAGTTATGCTCTTCGCTTTTTAAAAAGTTTTCTGTTTAAACAAATAGGACTCCAAGCTTGCACTTCTGCAAGTTTTTTTCCTTATGGAAATGGATACCAGATGCAAAAGCTTAATCTAAGTGCAGTGCATTAAACAATTAGTGTGGCTCATTGAGCCAACCAGAACACACTTTTTATTTTTGACTGACGGATGATCAACACAACCATCTGCTCCTGGTGGCTGGCGCCTGAGGGAAAGATGACAAGATGCCCTTCTTTGAGTCAGTATCTTGTGGAACATACGGGTCACGAGGGGGTAAAAACACTATGAAAAAAGAAGAAGACAGACTTACCTCCCTTTCAAAAGGCTTCCCTTATTAAGTGTGGAAGGCATACTTTGTGGCAACTAACTTGTCGAAAGCTTATGTAAATTTATGAATAATTGGTTAGGATTTGTTTTTAAGATGCCTTCATGATATCATTTCTGGAGTTCACGAAGAAGACTTTTCATTTCTTGCTTCCATAGGAAAGATACTGGATTGTTAAGGAGGAAAGTTGGGTTATACAGTACAGTGAGGCCTCACAAGATGAATGCCTTGTGCAACGCAAAACTCGCAAGACGAAAGCGTTTAGCAAATTTTTTTTGTGACCCGCAAGACGAATTTTTCTGCGCTGTGCTTCGCAATACGAAATGACTCGCGGAACGAATTATTTTCTTCTTGCAAGGCATCACTGTAATTTTGTGGAGTCTCAAGCACTACCTTTAGGAATCAGTGGCTTAAATCCCATTGTCACTCCCAACTAGATACCCGTGATGTCGGTGGGTTTTATATCTTCACATCCTGCAAATATGCCAGTGGGGCTACTTCAGTTAGGGCTATCCTCCGGGTTTAGGCCAGTGGCCTCTTTTAACAGCACAACCCTCCTAGCTGTCTGACTGTACAAATTTAGCATAAAATCAGTGAATGTCAGCCCCTTCTGTATATGTTAGGAATCAGTAAGATGCCAGGATATATGAAAAGGATGTAACTCGTTTTGTCCCAAGGGGCATACAGAGTGTTTGAGACATCAGAAGTTTGAATAACTACGGTTGACAGTTACACAAGGCAAAGTCTGGCAGGGCTGTACAGGGGAAGCGAGAAGGAGAAACGTCTGAAGGTGGGTCTTCTTGTTGGACCAGAACTCAGAAGACGTCAGTGTATGTGTGTGTTTATGTATGTACGCATGTGTTTTATGGAAGCAGAGGGGAGACTACAGGTCCCCACATCTCCCAGCCAAAATCCAAAAGAAAGAAACCAAAAACCAAGACATGTGGCACCTCTTATATTTTAACGTGAGCTTTCGTGGATCGTATCCACTTCCTCAGCCCTATGTGTGTGGGGGAGGAAAACACGGAGTGCAAAATGAAATAGAGAAATCACAGGTAAAATATTCCATTTGTTGGCTTTAAGAATCCTGGGTGTGCCGTTCCGTCTCACATGCAGCAGTTTATGGCTTATGTTTGGCGTCAGGGTCTATGGTAAACATTCCCACAGGAGACGGGGAGCAGATAGCCAGGCCAGAGGGAAACAGGGGGTTGGTGGTATCAATCAAAAACCCAAGTGGGGCGAAGAAGGAGGGAAGAAAATCTAGAAATCAGGAAGGTAAGCATCTGCTTCCAAGACCTTGCAATAAAATAGTGCCTCGGCTAAAAGGGCTACATTTGGATCTTATGGGTCATAGCTCTTATGAGGCTTTTTCTCTATGACATTTGCCTCATCCACTTAGAAAAAAAGGACATTTTTTTCCTTATCTTGTTGCTGTTGCTGTGTCCTGCAGCAACAAATTCCATATAAGAACATATGACCTTTGCTTCTGGTCTAACCGGCAGATTTGAGGTCAAAAAGGTGTTTTATTTTGGGTCAAACAGATTCCTTTTTATTTTATTATGTTTGTGCGGCTCACTCATCTGGAGCTGAGAATGTCCAATAGCTTAAATGCGAATTCCTATCTAAGACACTAAGAGCCCATAAAATGTACGGCTACTGTGGTGACGTGAGCAGGCTGCTTTCACGTAGATCGGATAGCTGTAATTACTCAGGGTGCACTTCCCCCTCCTTCCTTTTTAAAATATTATTTTTTCAGTTGTCCCACGAAATCCAGAATTCTGCCTGACAAATTATGTACCGACAGAGAGCATGTTCCGTCACAAAAGGGTATACATACCTTGGAAAAATTACTTTTCTGGACAGTCGCTCCTCTAAGCCCCATGGGCCACTGGTTAGAGTATTCTGGGACTTCTTGTGCAAAATGATAACACTTCCAAGTACTGTATAAAAATTGTTACTCAATTCTCTGTTTCTTGAGCAGACTGCATGTCACTCCTGTCACTAATCCTTATGAATGAAACCATGCTTTGAAATCATCTCTCAGGCCTCTTTTCTGTGTGTATGTTCCTCACCCTTTGAGTTGTGGTAACATGTCGCCATGTTATCTTGGGAGGTGATGTCGTACGATTTAATGAAAAACCTTCTGTTGTTTCGGCTCCAGAGCCCATTTCGTATTTGCAGAATGGACGCCGAGAGGTAAACGGATATGTCCATGTGTAAATGCCCTGTCTTCTCCTTTTCTCTCCGCTTCAAAGAGCATCACTTTTCCTTGGACTTTTAACCCTTTGCAGGTACACGTTCACTGGCATTTACACGTTTGAATCATTGATAAAAATCTTGGCAAGAGGATTTTGTATGACAGAGTTCACTTTCCTTCGGGATCCATGGAACTGGCTGGATTTTTGTGTTATTGTCATGGCGTAAGTAGCATCTTTTCTCCCCCCCTTATTGCTCTGCATAGTTCAGTGTGGAGTTTTTTCTGCTGTTGTTTCCACAAATCCCTATTGCTTGTTCCTGCTGTCCTACCGGCAGACGCTTGTGTTTTAATGGTCTTGGACGCAAGGAGATTGGGGTGAAATTCCTCAGAATGTAAAGTTTCGATTTCCCTCAGTGTTCTACGGAATCTTTACCAGCCTATACAACCAAACAGAGTCTTTTCGAATCACCCTGCCACTTCTAAAAATGTAACTTACCACAATCTTGTGGAATCAGATTCCAGGAGAATTGCCCTTTTAATCTGCATTTATTTGCGTGTGTCAGTGGTTGACCAACAGTCATTCTAGATGATACAGCCAAGGCAATGCTTTCCATTATAGATTCCCATTCCAGATCATTTACCTCTCTGCTACTACAGATTTTTTTTTTAAAAGGGGGGGCTAAAATGTATTGTTTTATTTAATTTTTATACCACCAATGTGAACAGTGGTCACTCTGGATGGTTCACAACGATGACACGAACGTTAAAAAAGACAGCATCATCAAAGGACAAATAAATTTAAGCTACATTAAACTAAGCTGACAAATATAAAAGAGGACGTAGATGCTACATATATTTCTAACTTGGTCTTGAGTTGTTTGCTCCTGGGATTTTGTGACGTTGGTACCAGATGAATTTAAGCTACATTAAACTAAGCTGACAAACATAAAAGAGGACCTAGATGCTACATATATTTCTAATTTGGTCTTGAGTTGTTTGCTTCTGGGATTTTTGTGATGTTGGTTTCAGATGTCTAGGCAAATGCACCACCTGTTGCTGCTAAGTCTACTCTAGACCCCAAGGTAAGCCCAACGTTCAGGTAGAGGGAGGTGTTGTCCTCAGGCAGCAGATGCCGGGGAGTGAGCAGCAAGATGCTAAAAGACAGAGTTGTGTGTGCCATCCTATATCCCAAGACGGTGGCTACCGGAGAACAGGAAAGTTATTAAAAAACAAACAAACAAACAGTTCCCACACACCCAAGAGCAAATATTCTGGGAACTATAATCCAAAAGATAACATTTCCCATCTATGCCTGAGGGACAAGAGGAAGCAGTGCCAGGTCAGAAAGAAGTAAGACTGAACGGCTGGCTTTTATACAGGTATTTAAATGTCTGGGATCAGCCTTGATAGACCTTCTTTGAGAGACACCCAAGCTTCCAGTGTCATCTTCTGCATCCTCTGTTTGCACAGTCGTCACAGAGGGCAAGTCAAATGTAAATCCCTTTTAGAAAATGCTGGGAACTGAAGGGGGTAGAGTAGGGGGACTAACACTACTGGTAAGTCGAGATGGGCACAAGCCCCAGTTCGGCAATTTGGCCATGTTTGGTGGGAACCAAGCAGTTCCCCCCCTTCCCTGCCTCCACAGCACAATTGCCTCCTCAGTTATCACCTGCAGTGCTGCCTTTGAGTGGGCAGCTGCTAGAGGAGGCAGAGGAGGGAAGCACACACTGTGATTGGTGAGTGGGCAGTTGCACAGAGGAGGCAGGGGAGGGAAGTATGCTTCAACTGGGGAATGGGTAAGCACAGAGAAGAGGCAGGAGAGGGGAATGTGTGTGGTGCCTGTGGAACACTTGTACAGGTGCTGTGCCAAACTGGGCTAAACTGCCCAACTGCATTGCACCCATCCTGAGCATTGGGAGGCAAAGTGAGGTCCTCTAGATGTTGTTAAACTGCAGCTCCCATCAACCCCAACCACCTGGACCAGAGGTGAAGTGGGCAAAGAGTGGCCCTCCAGCCAATGACATCTGGAGGGCCACTGTTTGCCCACCTCATCTCACTGTCTTTAGCCTTTGTGACGTGTCCTCCTCGACCAGGGAGAGGGCAAGGAGGGAGACCGGACTGCTCACTCTGACCCTCCCCTCCCCGATTCTCAGTGCCCTCTACCTGCGAAAGAGCAACTGCCTGTAAAAACTGCACGTTCTCCAAGTGTTTTTCTAGGTCTCTGAAATTTCGAGGAGGATCTGCTGGTGGCGGGGGTGGGGGATTCTGGGAACGGTTGTCCAAAAACCAGCTTTTCCAACCTCTGTCAAGTGGTGTGCACTTAAGCTCACACCGAATGGTACCAGAAAGGTGATATGAAGGATGGAATATGTGTAATAGGGGCCTGGGAAGTCTAGAGTATGTGTTTGACAGTCTTAGACTAATTGTGTTCCTTGGTATGCAGTAGGATGAGATAATGAGTGAAAAACAGAAGCTCCTTCTAGTCATTTCTCTGTGACTTAGGAGGACAAGGAAGTGGATGCTGGGCACTCATTTCTCTGCAGATTTCAGCCATGAGAACTCTGTGTGTTATTTACCCTGGCCTGGTTGTATTTGCATAACACTGGGAGCAGAGCGGTCGGTCATTTTGCTTTGAGCCCAAACACACTCTTCACCTCCTAATTCTTCCTAAGCCCCAGTTCAGATGATTAAAACTATGCATAAAGACCCTTGCCCGCCGCAGCCTTCTTTGCAAAGTCCGGCATTGTCCTGCCAAGGGCTGTTCTGGCACAGGACGGGGGAGGCCCAAGTGGCTTCTGTTCCGAATTAGAGCAAGAACATGCTCCAGGCTTGGATGCCCGGTGGTGGGCTTTCTTCCTCTCCCGGCCAATTTCAGCTGCTTCTGGCAACTCTCTGCCTTGCTTATTAGGTGGACTGCCTGCTTGCTTCTTTGGGGAGGTGGTTGTCTCCCCTGGCACACCGCTGGTGGGACACTCAAAGCCTCCCGTCTTCAAAGCAAATTCTTCATTATCCAGCTCTAACCCAGCCCCAAACCCAACTGTAAATAAAACAAAGGCTCCGTATTCCAGGCAGCTGTTGACTTGGCCAGCCCAGGGGAACTGAAATAGGAGCAAGCAAAGTGAAGACCAAAAGGCATCGCAATGGATGGACGGACGAGAGCCTCTAAAGGTTCCCACAAAAGAGAGGGTGGTCAGTGGGGGCTGACATTTTCAGGAAGGAAGAAAAAGAAAAGTAATTGTACTGAAAGGACTTTTTTTCCATTTGGGGGGGGGGAGAGAGAGAGTACTGGTATAGAAAAGGGCATTGCCAGGACAACCAGTCCATTCTCCTTTTTTAAAAACCTCGTCGATTTCCTTTTAAATACTTCTTGGCCATCGTTCCAGCAAACCACTTAAGCACGGGTACCCTAAGCTTTCACGCCCACCATCTTCAAAAAGGACAAAACTGGCTTTTGTGCCTTGAATTTAGCTGTACGGGTGGGACTTTTAGGGTTGTCTGTGTGCAAAACGAAAACAACCCCTCCCACCGCCACCCAGCTATTTCTAAAATTAAGGGTGTTTTATTTTCACATTTAAAGGGCCTGCTCTTTGCTCCGCATAATCTTAGAACTGCGGAGCTGGAAGGGAGCCTACGGATCATCGTGTCCAGCCTCCGACCAGGAGGGAATTCCCAGCGGGGGAATCGAACTCCCAATGTCTAGCTCCGCAGCCAGAGACCTCTCCAGCAGAACTCCTTTCTCTTACAGCAGCGTTCCAGATAACAGGGACCAAAGATGTTGAATTTCCCGGGGGTATTCAGCATCTTTAATTTGGATGTCATGTGCCCTAGTTGGAAGTCACATGACCCAGAGGTCCTGGAGTCTATTAAAAACAGGTGGCTGTCCTACACCATGTTCTCTCCTGTCCACTTTATCGTCACCCATAACACGCACAACAGAGCCTGAGGCAGAAGCACTAAAGCACTGTGTGAGCCAGAACTTGAACTCTGTGATATCCCTCATCCTACATTTACTGAGGCCGCATTCCTGTCCACTTTATCGTCACCCATAACACCCACAACAGAGCCTGAGGCAGAAGCACAAAAGCACCGTGTGAGCCAGAACATTTACTGAGGTTGCACCCCTCGTATACCAAGGAAATGACTTTAAATTAAAGATGGGGACTTAACTGCGATTCGGCGCTGTGGTGCAGTTCAGTGGATCGGTCCTATGGGTGTTGTGCAGACGCCCTGGATTCCGCACCCTGCCTTCCCCCCACGGGTGCCTACTCAAGAGGAGGAGGCAGGGCAGCCCGTGGTGCTGCTTCTGATGGGGTGCTCCTGGGAGGAGGCAGGGCACAGAATCCAGGGTGACCGCCCAAAACCTCTGGGCCTGATCCACTGAACCGCGCCAAAGCACTGAACCCCACTACGTAAGTGCCCATCTTTAATTAAAATACTGCAGAAAGGTATTGAGTTACTCTTTCTTAAATACCAATCATAATTGTAACTTAGTTACACCCTAGTTTTGCAAAAACATGATTACTGCTAGATTGTAACTTAGTTACACCCTAGTTTTGCACAAAACATGATTACTACTAGTTTTTTTTTGTCACTAGCTCTGATTGAATGGGCCAAAAGGAAGGCACTGCAGTTCAGACTTCCTTCCGCACATCTTTCTCTCCCCAATTTCAGCTCACATGCATTCGCCAAAATATACCAACAGGGCTGTGGTTGCATGCAAATGGCTTATCCAGTTCCTGTTTGTTATATTATAGGTAAGATTATCTGCATTTCAAGACAGAACCACTTTGCCTATTAATAGATTGCACCCTACATTTGAATAACATAATCCAAATTCTAAAATGTGTGTGTGTGTGGCTCACAAAACCCAGAAGATCATGTTTGAAACGGAATCATAAAATATGTATTAGAGTGAGAAAAAATAAAATAAAATGTAATGTAAAATCAAGCCTTATTAAAAACACAGAGCTACTGCTGAAATCAACACTCCCACCCTCATCACCATAATCACCCTATCTCCCGAAGTAATCCAAATTCTAAAATGTGTGTGTGTGTGGCTCACAAAACCCAGAAGATCATGTTTGAAACGGAATCATAAAATATGTATTAGAGTGAGAAAAAATAAAATAAAATGTAATGTAAAATCAAGCCTTGTTAAAAACACAGAGCTACTGCTGAAATCAACACTCCCACCCTCATCACCATAATCACTCTATCTCCCGA